ATACATATCCCGATTGGGAGCCACATTTTGTTTCTTCAGCATAAAGGTTATGACATTATTAGTGATTATTGATGACCGACACTACCCTCCTTAAGCAACGGTGATTTGAATTAGTAAATTTCTACATAAATTGTTTTCATACTGAAATGTGCTGTTTTTAGAAGTGCTTTACGGCACTGGTACCGCACGAATGTATAATCATACCGAGTACCACGGGAGCACAGTCGCTGAATGTGGCAGTGGATGACGAAACAAATGTTCATTTAAAAACAGTTTTAAAAAGGGCTGGTGTGAAGACGGTGCCGTTTCAGTTTGGTGAAGAGGAAGTGGAAGGCTGCTCGGAGAAAGTCCTCAGTATAATTGATGCAAAATACAAGGGTATTTTTTGATTGAACTGTAACTGCGTGCAGCCGTATTGGCCTGCCTGGTTACCTTCTCAGCACAGCCAGGATAGCTTCTGTGGTTCATTGTGGAATTCTTACTCTGGCCGGATTCGGCAGCGAATTCGCTGTGCGTGGTGAGCATGCCTAGATTTTGAGCGCTTTTGAATTAGGAATCAGCTGTGGGACAAAGCCCTCTGAATTGACTTATTGGCAGAGTGGTGAAGTGGTGCACTGATCGTCGAGATCCTTGAACTGGGTTGTAGTAAATCATCATCCAGGAATTGTCTGGAAGAAGTTTTCGACCGCAGCAAGATTTTATTATTAATTTTTTGCAGCGATGCGCCTTTCGAAGACGCAGGAAAGCTGCATTTTTGCACTTATGGAGTATCTGCATCTGAATGACGATTCCATGCCAAGCAGAAATTTTCAACTGCGCAATTATAAATCTGCTGGATACATGTATCTAAATTCTGCCGCTGTCAGGGCTCTGGAGCTTTTCAGCACAAGTCAGGAAGATGGTTTGTTTCACACTGTGCTCTGTCTCATTGTTGGACTGCGTCCAAGAAATTATTTGGAGTAAAGAAGTTGCGAGCAGAATGCATCGAGAAATATCTTTTTTTGTTAGTACCGAAAGAGACCTTAATGGAGG